ACTGGCATCCCAATAGATGCACCATGAATGAGTTCACTGAATCTTTTGACTCGCAAGCTGCTAGTTTTCTCACCCATAACAAAACTTATAGCATCCATAAAGTTAGACTTTCCTATATAACATACAATAAGAATGCGTGACAATACATACAGAGCTTGTCAAATTTCACGCATACATGTAGGATAAAATATCATCATAATTTTAACGGAATACAACCGTTATGGGATTTCCGAAAACGCTGATCTGATTCAATAGATCTATAGGTATCGGCAATTATACAGATAATTATTGTTTAATGATTCCGTAACTGTTTCGTTCGCTAAATGCGCTTATTGTTGATACACAGATTGATAACCTACCAGATCCATTGGGGCCAACAACTGCCGTAAAAGATTTCAATGGCCCGATAATAAGCTTTCCTTTATAAGATTTAAAGTTCTCGACTTCGATATGCTTCAAAAACGCCGGCATCTTCGAAAATAATTAAACAAATTACGTAAAATTAGAAAATAGCGTAATTGGCGCCACAAAGTTTCCAATACAAGCAAACATCACCGTTTAACTATCTTCTTTTAACAATGAGCAAAAACAAGAAGAGCGGAAAGTTTGGTTAAAAACATGAAACTGCGATGATACTGCCATCTATAGATAATTCTTCGTAAATGTTTGAACATAATTCGTTTACGGAGAGATTAGCTATTATAGGAAAATTTCTATTTCTTCCGAAAATATATATAACTATATATATATATGCAATATTAACTTAATAGGTATATGGTGTATTAAAGAAAACGCACGAAATGAAGAAAGAAAAACTCTTTGTTTCTCTCTTAGGGCTAATTTCACCAAGTCCGGTTGGATGAACCGACGATTAAAATTAGCAGGGTGGTTAACTGAAATGATACGAATGCTTGGTTTTCCTTAATCTCTATTTTCTGTTGGCTACCCTGCTAATTTTAACCGTCGATTCATCTAACCAGACTTGGTGCAATTGGCCCTTAGATGGTGAGTGTAAATATATATAATATACAAATAAAAATATTTTATACATATAATATTTTATCATATTACGATGAATATATA